GCTGGCTGGGTTACTTGGCGCTGGCCCTCTACCCGCTAGCCAAGCCCACTACAGGCAATGGTCTGTCCCCGAGAATGGCGCTCTAATTTGTTCAGACCGCAAAGTTCATAGCAAATTAGTTGATTAGTTTAACGTCGCTGCCAAAGAGCCAGTCCGTTTTTGACAGCCGGCTGGAGGAGGGTGTGAGTGGTGGGCATGAGTGTGTATGTGAGTGTGCGGAGCCATTTGATATGGCTGGTCACATTTGTTCAGCTGCAAATTTTATAATTCAATCAGTGCACAGGGCACACAACACAAACACAACACACCCACAGAGACACACAGACTTGGTAATGCGGCAATTTGTGTGAAATTTACCAAGAGCTTCGCAGGCGCAGTAGGAGAGATGGAGATGAAGAAAGTGACTAAGAGTGGGGGAGAGACAGAGAAGAAGAGAGCAATTCTGAAAGCCCCATTGCCGCTGAGAATGTTATTGTGGCCTGTGCGATTAGCGTGAGTCAAATGCGTTTTATTGTGAATTTATTAAGCGTGCCCAAGGCGAACATTAAATGCTGGGACAGCGCGGTGGCTGGGCCAGAGCCATAAAGATAGCCAAGAGCTCAGACAATAAAGGAGAATATTGAAATCGACGGCAAGTGAATATGAAAGATGAAGTCGAGATAAAGGATGCTGGCAATTTTGTTATTGAAAATATGAAAACAAGCTCAAAGCGTATCAATAGACGACAATGAAAGTGTTTATATATGCATATGACAATAAATATGAAAGCCGAAATTTGCCTTAACAATGCTCCAATTGATTTAATGCTGGCAGCAATTTATGCATTATGTAATCAAGGCTGGAAATTGTTTTCATTTTCGCATCCATTAGCCGAGAACTTAGTGGCAAGCATAATTAATTGATATATAATCAATATTCCAACTTCGAACCGGTCTGATCTATTTAAGTCTAAAGTATTTGCCATTTGCAACACGTATCTGAAGACTGTAAAAAATGAGTTTTCATATTTTTAAAGAGGCGATGACTTTGATATTCCAGACGAGCAGTCGAAGTATGCAAAACTAGTTTAACTTGAATTGCGAAGTTTCCTTTGCGAAGATTGATAGACGAACGCTATGCGGGCTGGGACTTATGATACTTGAGACTGTTTTAAATAGAACAACATGCTGTGATATTGGAGCAACTAAATTCTTTTGAAATAGCAATAACTCGGCATCTTGTTGCTCTGGATAAAATATCTTTTGGTATTCAGACTTCGGATTTTTCCACATATTATGGCACCTTGCTTGTATGTCCTTATGCTTGCTCCAGACCAGCTCGGCGGAAAAATGATCCAACAAACTTGTTGGCCAAAGCGGCTCAGCATCGAGTGCACACCATTTACTTAGCTGGTTTTCAAATTATAAGCCTTTCACATATCCGAGCGGGGCGAGGGCTGCTGCTGCTGCTGCTGCTGCTGCTGTTGCTGTGTGGTGAGCTCTAAGCCACATGTTGAAAATAATTGTCATGGCTACCCAGAAATCCTTTGCGCAGCGCCATTTAAAACAATTCCAAACACTTTGTGGGCGCTTAACATAGCTGACAACAAATTTGACACCAAAGCCGCTTTAATCAATATAATAAAAGACATTTGTTAAATTAACAAAGCGCGTTGCGTTGCCGCCATCGCCAACAACAACAACAGCAAAACCGCAACAACAACATGTGAATACATTGAAAAAAAAAAACAACAGAAGAAATTTTAATTAAATTTATAACGCAAAGCCGCAAAGAGAGCCTAGAAGCTCTGTGGGAAAGATTTATGTGACCGTTAATTTTGTCAAAGTCATTCGAATGCCTCTTGTCGTTGCTGTTATTGCTGCTGTTGGCTGTTGGCTGTGCGCACGCTAAGTGTCCTGACGCCAAAAGGAGTGCGAGAAAAAACCTCACCGGATTTCCTGTGATATGCCACAATATTTTCCATTAACGCACTGAAGTTGCAGGCAAACACAGCAAACCGAAAACAGAAACAGCGGCAAAACTGGAAACTGGTCTTGATAAGACAGCAGCAGCAGCAGTTCAAAAAAAAAAGAGAATAGAGAAAAATAAAAACAACAACAGGCAACAGACGGCGAGAAAAAACAAAAGCATTGAGCAAAATGTGCGTTGGTCCAGCGTATGAGTATGAGAGCAAGAGAGCAGCAGCTCCTCGGGCCAGGTTCAGGTTTAGGTCCAGGCCACTTCAGCGTAGATTGTCTGTGGACAAGCAATATTACTCCATCTCCATCTCTCTTCCTCTCCCTCTCTCTCTCTCTGTTGCACACGCTGTTGTATAGGCTTGATAGCCTGCCTGCCTGCTGTGCGACAGTCGCTGGCTTTATATGAGTTAATGACTTGTAGATAGTTTAACTTACAAAGCAGAGAACAGGCGAAGAGACAGAGAGAGAGAGTGAGAGAGAGATAGGTTGGCGCCCGAACAGGGGAGTGTACTCAGCAAAAGGGGTTGCGTTGACCATTAGTGCGACATCCGGCGTTGCGCATCGCTTGCCAGTGGCACACGTAAACGCAGTCCATGCTCAAAACTATTAGCAGCTTTGCGTCTGGGCCAGCTCGCACACACTCACTTACTTAACTTGTGGCCAAGTTCGAGTCGACGTGCAGGCACAGGATCGACATCGTCATAGGCAACATCATCAACATCAACATCAGCATCGAATGGCATGGAACGGTTTTGTGGTCAAGCTGTTAGTTTAGTTTGCGTACAATTTGTGGGCCCAGTTGACAATTACAGCCCCTTGGAAGACAATTTAAGAGAGCTGACTGCTGAGTGCTGCTGACTGCTGACTCCCGACTCCTTGCGCCCTGACCACTGGCCAACAGCCAGCCAGCAGTGGGCAGAACGCATGAATGAAATGGTAAACCGGTTTACTTTAGCCGCCTTCTGTTCGTCTTTTCATTTACTTTGCACTTTACTTCACTTTACAGCCTGTGTTTTCTGTTTTTGTTGTTACTTTAGGTTGTGTGCTGGTCTGCCAGTGCTTCCTACTGTCACACTTCAAGGATTTCTTTGTTGGCCATCCTGCCTTGCATATGTGTGACAATTACCCATTGCTTATTGTCTTGCATACGTATATATATATATATATATATATATATATGTATGTATGTGCAGAGGTGTATATATGTAAGGCCAAACAGAGCGGGGGGCTTGCTGCGTAATGACACTAAATGAGTTGTAGCCAACCGGAGACGGGGCCTGGGCTTGGCCTCTGTTTTTCTCGACATTGTCGTTGTCGTCGTCGACGCAAAACCTGTCAAGTTGTGCAGTTTTTTGTTGTTGGTTAATTGCCGCAGGAAATGTTCTGGCTGTGCAGTTTGGTCAACTGTCTCTTGGTCTTTGGTCTTAATTGCATGAACTTTGGGCCAAGTTAATGCGGCCCTATGCAAATTGAAGCGCGCGCACCCAAAGGCCAAGAAAAACCGAGTGACTAACTTGCAGCTGCGGGTGGTCGTTTCCGTTGTGACCAAATCATATTCAGTGGATAGCTCTATCTGTATGCAGATGTATATAGCTACATATATATGCATATAGATCTATATGTAAATGTGTAAATGTATTTGTAGTTCATTTCGTGTTCAAGTCCAACGGAAATCGAGCTCGTTTCATGACCGTGCAGCCTCGCTGGCTTCTTGTGTACGACAAATAATCAATTAATCCATTGATGAAGTCCACGACAGCGACGTTTATTTGTTGAGCCATTTGTAGGCACGTCTCACGCAGTGTTTGAATGTTTGCCTTAGCTGGTTCCTGGCCCGCACAGTGGCACAAAAACCATGCAATCAATTCGACACAGTTTCATATAAGAAATATGTGCTTTTTTTTGTTGTTGTTGTTGTTGTTGTTGTTGTTATTAAACAAGTTTAATTTAGCTTTGGCTTGTCTGGGAATTGAATTATATTGGCTATAACCAATTGAACTTGTTTTGATTGGCAGCCAAGTTAAAAATGAGCTGACAATTATAATAAATGATAATTGATTGCAGTGGCTAAGTTCTAATTTGAATGAAGTGATTTAAAAATGCCCATGAAAAAAATATGAAACCGGTTTCAATTTGCATATCGTCAGAGTTGGCTGGCTTCGTATCTTAATTTATTATTCGTATCTTAATTTATTATTATGAAGCTTGGGCTGGTTAGCAATCAAACATTTGTATTTGGGTCGCTGTCGCTGTCCAAGTGATCAATCTAATGGACTAAAACTTTTTGCAAAAGTTTTCGCTGTGAAAATTCACACTTAATTTCCCTTCATTTGGCTTGTCTAGCTTTTTCTATGACCCAGTGACACTGTGCGTGCTTTTATGTGTATTACCTATGTAGATTGCTCTAATGCTGATTAGGTCGACGACAACACACACACAGAGTAACATACACACGGCTAAGTAGTCGGTTCAATTTGGTATCGAACGTGGCCTGCTCTTTTCTTTAAGACATTTTAATGCTAATGAGCCGCAAGCTGTAGACCTACTTCGTTTCGGTGTGGGTTGATATAGCGACACACAGACTGGCAACGGGCAGACCATGATGAAGACAGAAGGCAGACAGCCGGCGCAGCGGACAGACATGTCCATGTCTCAATGACAGCCTCAAAGTGCCCTGACACATACACCCACACACACACATGTAAGCCACACGTGTGTGTGCGAAACAAATAAAAAAAAACAAAAACAAGAAAACACAAAATAAAAGTTGTTCCAAATTAGTGAGATGTGACTGGGCTGCGTCGTTGGGTCTTATGCTTAAGTAATGTGTATTTTATGTGTGGGCTGCGAAAAGTAGGTAACTGTAACTGTAGCTCTGACTGTGACTGGGCCGGGTGACAGGTCGATTGGTCGATTGCGTTGCCAATTGAACTAGGTGCTTGCTGCTTGCTGCTGCCTGCTGCATTTGCCAGTTACCAACTACGTGCGCAATTGTCGAACGTGCCGATTAACAATATGCGAAATTTTTTTGTTTTTCTACAGCTGGCGTAAGCTGCACAGCTCAGGCTGATACTCCACAGCCAGGCGCGCCTGCTGTGCAAAAGTTCCGCGTTACCCCCCACGATCTGCAAATACTGGAGGGCACAGATACGCTGATGCGCTGCGAGGTGTCCTCGCGCGCCGGCAAGGTTCAATGGACAAAGGACGGCTTCGCTTTGGGCTTCTCAGCAGTCATACCCGGTTTTCCACGCTACTCGGTACTGGTGGACACGGCTCATGGCACATACAACTTGCAAATTAAGAACGCTACGCTCGAGGACGACGCTGAGTACCAGTGCCAGGTGGGCCCGGCAGCTGGCAATCCAGCCATACGCGCCAATGCCAAGCTCAGCATCGTGGCAGCACCCAGTAGCATTTCCATCGATGGCTATGCGCGCAATGCCAAAGTCGAGGTCATCGAACGTCAAAACCTAACGCTGCAGTGCATCACCGAGAATGCTAATCCAGCTGCAGAGATAGTCTGGTATCAAGGCGAGACGCCGTTGACATTAGGTAAGGCCCGCATTATTACAAGCTCCAGCTCATCAAGTTCAACTGGTCTAACTTGGCTACCTCCTGCAGAGCCCATTGTCTCAGTGAATCAAACGTCGGCCAAGCGCTTCCGCACCAGCTCCACATTGCATCTGCAGCCACGCTCTGAGGACGACTATAAAGAATACTCCTGCGAAGCGCGCCATAAGGCTTTGCCCCCTGATGTACCCATGCGTGCTCAGGTCCAGCTGTCTGTGCTATGTAAGTCGAGAAACATCTGCTTTTCTTTCGTCAGCAACAAGGCTTAATACCCAAACCTTTAGATCCACCCGGACCACCATTCTTTGAGGGCTATAGCCAAGGTGAGACTTTGCGTCGTGGTCAGGAGCTACAAATAGCTTGTCGCAGCCGTGGCGGCAATCCCCCCGCCCAGTTGGTTTGGTATCGCAACGGCGAGGTCATCAATTCGCCTCAACGCACCTCAGGTCGCCTCTCGGAGAACGTATACAAATTTACGGCCAATGCATCGGACAATGGCGCCAATTTGGTCTGCGAAGCCAAGAATCTATTGTCGAATACACCGCTGCGGGCCGAACTGAATCTGACTGTTCTATGTAAGTTTCCCAGCTGCGCTTAAGCTTGTCAGTAGCCTTTATACAAAAGCATGTTCCATGTAGACGCGCCGAAGGATGTTTTCCTGAGCGGGGCAACCCAAGCCAAAGTTGGGGATGCTGTGCAGCTGAATTGCGTGACAGCCCCCTCGAATCCGCCGGCACGCATCAACTGGTCCATGAATGGCCGCCCCTTGGTAAACGGCACCTTCAAGACGACGAGCAGCGCTGATGGGGGCTGGGTGAGCAGCTCAAACATTACCTTAAATATCGATTCTCAGAGCCGCACGTTCATCACCGTTTGTCATGCGCTCAATGCGGAGCTCTCCCAGAATGTTGTTGGTTCCCACACTGTGAATGTTTTGTGTAAGTGAAACAGAACCTTGGGGTCAGTTGTGCGCAGTTTGCTTTAGCTGTTTCTGTTCCACAGATCCGCCCTCGGCGCCACTGCTGACCGGCTACAACGACGGCGATATTCTCGTCTCCGGCTCGATCCTAAAGCTGCAATGTAGTTCCGCTGGTGGCAATCCGCCGCCTACTCTGCAGTGGTATAAGAACGATAAGCGCCTAAATGCCGCATCGAAGGTAACCGACAGCAAAATCAGCTCGGAGCTGTCGTTGCTAGTCAATGCCTCCGACAACAATGCCATCTATAAGTGTGAAGTGCAAAATGCTGCCATCGAAATACCATTATTCGCCACAAAGACTCTTGGGGTGCATTGTAAGTTGTGATGGACTCTAGCCTTTCGGCCTAATTTCTCATACTTTGTCATTTGATTGTCCATTTAGTTCCACCGGAGACCGTCAAGATTAGTGTTGCGCCCAAGAATCTAGTGCCTGGCATTAGGGCCAAACTCATTTGTGATTCCAGCTCTAGTAATCCGCCTGCCAAAATCAGCTGGTGGAAGGACGGCATTCCTGTAGAGGGACTTAACTTGGCTAACAGGCCTGGCCTCTGGGGCGGCTCGGTGTCCACCTTAGAGATGCATGTGAACATTACCCAGGATCTCGACGGCTCCATCTACACGTGCCAGAGTCACAACGAAGTGCTGCAGCGCAGCGTTCACGAGACCATCAGCCTGGACATACTTTGTAAGTTACCTGAGCCCATGCTTAGAAATATTTGCCCTCTGACTAGCCATTTCTATCGTGCATAGTTCCTCCAAAGTTCGATGTCGCCCAGATAACCAGCTTTGTGGGTGTTGAGGGCGCACCACTGCAAGTCGAACTGCATGCTAGCGGTAATCCCATGTCTATTAGCTATACCTGGACCAAGGATGGTCTGCCCATTAGCAGCAACCCGTTGAGCGGCCAGCGATTGGTATCAGACGGACCCCGACTCAATATAAGTCGCCTAAGCCGCAACGACGCCGGCCTCTATGTGTGCGAGGCACTCAACACACAAGGCACAGCCATGCTGGAGATTCAAGTGATTGTGGAATGTAAGTAGTCGCTCGTGGGGTTGCAAAGGCCATCCCGGCTAGTTGGCCAGTTGCTGATTTCGCTCTTCAATTAGATGCACCCATTATTACCTCCGTCACCGAGGGTCAAAATTTTGCTTCTGGTGAACAGGCTGTGCTGGCCTGTCAGGTCCAAGCCCGCCCGCTGGAGGCAGCCCATGTGCGCTGGTCACGGCCTGGCTACGATTTCGCCACTCGCACCACTTCCTCCTTTGAGAACAACACGGCGCTGCTGCACATCGATAATGTTCAGCGTGGAGATATTGGCAATTTCACGTGCACTGTGGACAATCAACGCGGACCTCCCGCTGCCCAGAATGTGGTCCTTGTTGTGCAGAGTAAGTAGCCGCAGCATCATTCGTGTCGATGGAGGCTAATCTTACATTTTGTTGATTGATTACAGCCTCCCCGGAGATTGATCACTCGCCGGCGTACACGCGCTTTGCGGCTCGCCTGGGTGTGCGGGCTCAGCTCATTTGCCGTGCCTTGGCGTCACCACAGCCCAGTTTTATTTGGCGTCGCCATGGCAAGGACTTGAAGATGCAACGGCGCAACAAGTTCACGAGCGTCGAGCGTCAGGTGGATCCACTTCACTTCGAATCGGCCTTGCTTGTGGAGAGTACCTCGGCCGATGACTATGGACAGTACGAGTGCGTGGTCCGCAATTCCATGGGCCAAGCCAGTACCACTCTGGAGTTCAGTAAGCCCACGCGTCCGGACACGCCCCTGCAGTTGCGAGTGGGCAATGTCAGTGACACGAGCGCAGAGCTGATGTGGACACCTGGCTTTGACGGCGGCATGCAGGTCTACTATCGTGTGCGCTACAAGCAGCACGGCGAGGACAAATACAAGTATGTAGACGCTAAGGTAGGCCAACAGAATATCACGCTGGAGAGCCTGAAGCCCGGCGGCACATACTTCTTCTCCGTGATGGCGCACAATGAGGCAGGCGGCAGCAAATTTATGCCTGACATCAAGCTAACCCTGAGTAAGGGCTCGCAGCCCCATTCTGCGGAATATACCGAAAAGGATGAGCTGCCCAATGTGATGATCATTGGCATCACCTCGGCGGCCATGGTGCTGCTGGTACTGAATGCAGCGCTTGTGGCCTGGTTCGTTATACGCCGTCAGAATAAGTCGCAGGGCGAGACGGAGCCCAGCAACGATGACGCCTACTCCAAGGATGATAATCAGTCAGTCTATAAGGTAAATGGGCACCAGTTTATAGCAAATATTGAACTGCAGACTGATTGGCCTTATCCTAACCAGCTGCCCATCACTGCATTGCAGGCGGATGTGCAGAAAAAGGCGGCCGCGTCGACATATCTTGTGGAGAACGTAGACATCATACAGTCCACGGCCTATCCGCCCAAATATCAGGAGAGCTCCATGTGCACGCCCCCCTACCCGCTGTGCAATCCAGACTTCACGCGCACCCTGCCCAATCCCAAGCGGCACAGTCAACGCAACAGCGCCACTGGCCTAATTGAAGGCATGCCCATGCGCGCCAAGGATGACCATATGTTGATCTCCAATGGCCTGTACATACCATCACCTTCGCCCGCCTCCTCGCTGGTCATCAAAGGCAGCTACATATCATCGCCATCGCCAGCGCCGCCAGCCGATGGCTCCTACTTTAACATGAGCGACAAGTACATGTCCTATCCGCCAGTGGTAAGTTGAAGAACTCAATGGAAATAAATTTCTAAAAACTATGTAGAGACAGGTAGCTTAGGGTAATTAGGGAATGGTTTTATTCCGTCCATCTCTTTTACCTATATCGATTTCTCATCAAATTTATTCGCGTTGATAGTTAACGCTAATTAAAATTTATATGAAACTTTGCACTTTGGAGGGCTGCCCCACTTTGAGCATTGTTATTGATAATGGCTTATTAAATTTAATATCCAATCTCTTTCCCCTTTCCCTCTTTTCTATTATTCAATCGACAGACCTACTAAGCCGAATGACGAAAGACAACAAACACCAGCCAAGCCCAGCTGGACTGATTGACATCACACATCACAACAAAACAACCAAAAAGAAAGAAAAAAAAAAAACAAACAGAAACAACACCAACATCGAATATATCATGAAATTGAAATTGAGTCGAATCAGTCAATAGGAGTTTTTGTGTTGGTGCTTTTGCTGGGGCTTGGCTGCCGCTGTTGCAAGTTTTTGTTTTCTGTTTATAATTATTACTAAATGACGTTGATTATTATGGAGCGCAAATGGAGGAAACATGTTGAATGTATTTTGAGAAAAGACATTTGCATGCGGCGCTCGAAGGCTGTGATAAGTACCTGTATCCAAGGCTCTCCACTCCACTCGATTCCAACTGGCTCGGTTCGGCTAACCGCATCACGATACCCAGCACGCACATCAAAAGTTGAGTCCACATCAATCAATGGCGCTGCCCATGCCGATGCCGATGCCGATGCCGATGCCAATGTCGATGCCGCTGCCGATGCCGAAGCTGATGGCAATGGATTAGCCTTTGGGGCAGGTGCGCAACCCACTCTACAAATGCTTGCCCCCTCTCACCAATAAACAAGAACCGACAAACAACCGCAAATACAACATTAATGATGGAAGGAGAAGAAGTATAAAACGAAGTTGAAGAAGCAGAAGCTGCAGCATTAGTAGAAACAACAAAACACTCAAATATTAATTTGTAGGCATTTTTCTTGATATTAACTAGTAGCAATTACGATTTTTAGCAATTAGCGTAAATATTAACGAGTCTGTTGAGTCGTGACTCATTCTCATTAGCAGTTGTTCAAGTTTAAGCTCTAGACATACCAATATCTCTACATACTTCATATAAGTACGATTTTCAGCAAAATAACGGAAGAAAAACAGTAGAAAAACAAGAAAAGGAAAGCGAAAACAAACGATTTGACATCATATGAAGGATAAATTCCTTAATCAATTATAAAAATAATCTTAAGCGTGACTTTCGTTAGAATTAAGAGCCGATTTAAACTAGCTTAAGGTATATACACAAACATATACAAATGCAAACATATATACATATATACATATATACATATATATGATCTACCATATTTACACGAATTCAACGACTTTTTATCATGCATGACAATAAAATATATACATGATAAAATATGCGTACACGCGCAAGCGCCAAAAATTATGTTAAACAAAACGAAATGAGCTAAAACAAAAGAAAGTGAAAATTAGAATGCAAAAAGAAAAGTTAATTAAACTTAGATTTCAGATCTTTGCATTTAAACAAGATAAGCATGTGTACTATATAAAATCAAATTAAATAAATTATATATATATATAATTAATTAAAATAATATTTAAAATATTTCAAATCAAAGACAAAAAGAAAATAAAATTAAATTAAAAAAAAACACCCACAACAAATTTTTGTAACTTCAAACAAAAGTATTTGAATAAATAACTTACAAATTTTCAAAAATTAAAACTAAAATTTGACTTTTTCTTGGGCTGCTAACTAATTTCGGGCTCTCACTTTGGATGCCCGCTGGATACTTAACGCCTACGAACAACAGCCGTGGCCCAACCACCTGCTTCATTATGCCACATGACTTTGCCGCAGAGCTCAAATTTGTCTATTGCCATCAATCAGCGCTTGGCTTTGTTCATCATTCTCGTGTGCCACCATTTTTGCTGTGGGCCCCATTTGGTAGGCGTGCTGGCTTACACCTTAAATGCTTGGCTAATTGTTTTCGGGGCCAGACTTAACGGCGTCGGCTTTTTGTTTAGAAATTTTATTAATTAATAGCGTCGCTGGCTCGCTTAATTAATGACACATTTAATAATATTTATTTCTTAATTTATGGAGCCTGCATTAGCGGATCATAGAATTAGTCTATGCCAGCAAGCTTTCACTGCCCCCCAGAATGAAATCATTTGCCAGCTTAGATTTCGTATTTAGCTGTTCATATACATATGTATATATACATACATTTCGAAATATATATGAATACATGTATCCATAAATATATGCCCCTGGGAAAAGTTCCCCCAAATATGTATTAAACGATTGCATGAAACTTTTTTGTTTATGTATTGCTTTATTTCTTTACTTACTTTCTGTTACATAAGCATGTGCTCATGTGAAATAGCATGTGTACTCACAGACGTCAAGTTTTCCTTCTATCTCTGTTCATATTTCTATATTTTCTGTAAGTATATGTTTGCCAATGCCAAGCGCAGACTTTACTTTAATAATATCAAGTCTCTCAGAAGCGCTAAGAACTTACAGACATGTATCTTAAAATAGAATCATGTCTGGGTGCCTTATGAAGTTGGCCAAGTTCAAGAGACTTTCAAGCTTCAGCTATAATTTCCTAATAAATATTTTTACTTATATTCTCACGTGAATAGAAAGCAATTTAAATTAAAATAATCATTATTTTTTTTTATTAGTTACTTTAACATTTAAATAAGATTGAATGTAAAATAATAGTTTGATACACAAAATGTACACAGCCATTAGCTATTGTCGCTGCTTGAAGAGACAGATCGATTTTGTTTTAAATATTAATAAATTTAATATCAATTATTTCACTTTTCAATTTGCTTTGCGGTTTGCAAATTGTTTGCGCTTTCAATTTTGTTGCCAATAGTTGAAAAACAATTCATTTTGTTTTCTTTTATTTGATTTCTTTGTTTTATTATTTTTTTTTTTAATAAAGTATTTGTTTATGTGTGTAGCCCATAAAATGTCAATTAATTAAAGTTGCAATTTCAAAACGTTGCTATGCAATTTCACAGAAATCTGATATTTGAGCATAATAGAATATGTTTTCATTGCAAATAAAATGAAATAAATGTTATTTTAATTACTGTCTGCAATTGCAACGCTCTGGCCTAGCAGCCAGCGTTATGTGGACCTTTAATCGCCTAGATTGTCACTTGCTGAATTCAAAGGCAGGCAATAACAAAATAATTAAAATTAATTTTCAACATGGTTTAGTTACTCCGTGCGAGTGTCAACAGCAACAGCAACTGAAACAGAAACAGAAACAGCAAAAGCAAAAGCAACAGCAACAGCAACTGAAACAGAAACAATGCATAATTAAATACAGTGAATTCATTAAATTTTAATTAAAACATTTGAACGCGCAATGGATTTTTATTTTACTCGACCTTACAATTACAAAACAAGAAACAAAAAAAGCTGAAAACGATAGTACAAAAAGTCAATACTCTTTCAGTTCTGTCTCTCTCCATCGCTCCCTCTCTCTCATTATTTGAAATTGGTTTCTAAAAGCTCTGTATATTCAGAAAAATAAATAAAATCATATATTTTGATATTTAATTTCTCATGTCCATGAACCGTTGGCTTATCAAATATCTAACATTTTTCGTTTCCACAAACATTGTTAATTTAATAAGATAAATACATGTATGTTTGGGAATTCAATTTGTGGATGATTGCTTAGTGGGCCACCCTTAAAAGTTTTGTTTATTAAACTAAGTCAAATTCTAAGAAAAATTTTGTTTGTTTTTGGTCGTCTCTTTGTTCATTATTAAATTAGACTTTTGGGTTCAGCTGAGTTTGGCTGGCAGCCTTAAATTCAAACTTTGAAATGATTGTTATATTTATAGTTGATAATATTAAATTATTATGCAATTACTTTAATTGAAATGATTCATATATACATATGCTTGCTGGAAACTATTAAAACAAATAAGCTTAGTCCGTCTATTATATGGTAGATTTAACTAGCTCGTAATTACAAATTTATATATGTATATATCTAAGGCTACATGCGCGCTTAACAGTCGTCAAACTCATGCCATTATTATGTAGTGTATAATAGAAGCTACCTTCCACAATGCGAGAGCCGAGAGGCAGCTAAGCAAAGCCAGCGGCGGCACGAAACGGAAAACTTCATTAAAAGTGGGCAGCAGTTGGCAGCAGCCGTTGCCAGGCAAGCTGTGCCGGGGGCAGGGGCAGCAGGGAATTGGTGGGCTGTATATTCGCTTGGTTCTAGGCATGTTCTAAGCCTGACTGCCAATGTGACGACGCCTGGCGCGGCTCCACTTCCTGTGCTGGGGCCCCAGTCTCTAGTCGCCAGGCCCAAACTACAAGATGCCTGCAATCGAACGCATAATCATATTTAATAAGCGCGTCGCAGTCAGCAAGTGAAAAGGCATCGTTCAGTGCTGCTTCTTGACCAGTTTCAGGTGATGGTTGATGTTGATGCTGATGCCGATGTTGTTGTTTCTGTTGTTGCTGATGCAACAAGTGCGCAGAACAAGGCACAGATGTGCAGAAAAACCGGTTCACGATAGCTGCAACGCTTTAACGCAATTTGTTAACCTGGCTGACAAACTGTTGCCTGCTGCTGCTGCCTGTTGATACTGCTGGCCGCTCTCCTGTCGGCGCCCCTGCTGCCTGCTGCTTGTTGCTGTTTCTGATGCTGTAAAAAATAGGTGCGAGTGCAATTAAGAGGCTGCCTGACCAGTTCGGAGTACGAATACGAGTCGAATCCTGGCCGGCAGCGAGCACTTCATTCATAAAATTACGCGCATGTTGCGTGATGTTGACGCTAGATAAGAACCAGCCTCATCTACGGCACCAGCTGGAGCCAGAAGCCCTGCCCAGTTAGGGCCAGAGCCAACCTGTTGACGGGCTGGCCGGTTGCGGAAAATACTTATATATAGACTACTTAGATTTGAGCGAAGCTGACTCTGCTGACTGGCAGGAAAAGTGCAGCGGCGTAAAAAACTCGCTTTTCTTGGTAATTAATGAAAGCTGTCACGGCTGAGGCTCATGCTGGAGTTGAAGCTGATGCTGAAGCTGTAGCTGATTCAAAAGCCAGCTCTGTGGCAGAGTCAACAAATGCAGTCGGCTACTGTTGCCGGCAGTTATTAAAATGTTGCGATAAGTTCTGCCGCCATCCCACCGGGCCACATTTGTATGCAAAGTGCCAACAGTTTTTGATGATGCGACGCGCAGGAAGTTGTCGCTGAAAGTGATATTGAAAACTGCGCGCAGAATGGATTACTTCCTTTTGACCATGGCC